CTTTACGTTATTAGATATTATTAATTAATTATTTTAAGTTAATATTAATTCTCTTTTGTAACAATAATTTTCTTATTTCTACGAAACGATCGCGCAACTTCACGATATTATTATTTAACGAGCGCTATTAAACATATGCTTTATAAATCTATTTATATTTATATTAATATTTATATTTATTTACATATGCAAATAATTCCATTTTATTAATGAAAATATTTGGTTTTTCGTTTGCAAGTAATTAGATCAATCGATCTTTTTTTCAAGTCTCATCGTAAAACTTCCAGTCGTCATCTTCAAAATCTAATAATCCTTAAAATACGACAGATTGTTCGCGCTTTATTCCATGTTTGTGTCGATAATTATGAGAGTAATATATTTAAAAAGAAAAATTTTTTTTAATTGATTTTAGTATTTATTTTATTTTATATTTTTCAATTTATTTTTATTACAAATTAAATCATAACATCAATTTTTTTTTATTTTTTAACTATCAACAGGCATAATTACCGACGCATGTATGCATGCATAAATATTTCTTAATCGAATTACGTTTAGTGTATTATTGAGCAATAAAAAATTCGTCGAAAGCAATTTAATTTCTAATTAAAAAGAAATTGTGTAAAATAATAAACTGTTACGAAACATTTCCAAGTAAAGCCTTTATCTTTTAGCAAGTAAAAATTTTGGAAAATTTTTCCTAGCATTAAAAATTATCCGAAGCTTTCTCAGCATTGTTTTCGAAGACACACGTTTGCTCACTTTAGATTTTGATCGCAACACGCGTAAATGCGTGACTCATTCCTTCACTGGATTTCCAAATTTCCATCATACCTAGAATTTTAGAATTTTAATCAAGAAGAAAGTCATCTAGGAGAATATAAGATTTCCCACCGGAAAGTCTAAGAAAATTGCTTTTCTCTTCTTTTACTTGAAATTTTCTGGCAACCAACCTTGCTTTGCTATTACCAATATTCGTTCAAAACGTAAATATATACTTCGATAAGGAAGTTAGAATGAGAAAGATAATACGTGTCTTGGTTTATCGTAGTGTTTTATATACAAACTGCTTCAGAATAACTATTTGTAATTTTATGTTAATACTTAAAGAGACGTAATTAAATATTTTTTGTAATAAAATGATATTCGAAATGTTTTCAATATATTCTAGATGTGTTGATCTTACGATATGACTTAAGTTATTGTTTTATCTTTTTATATTTGAGGTAATATTAAATCGACATTTTTAATATGAAAGAAGAATTAGTTGTTAGAATTTGTTTTTTTGTTCATTTATCCTCGCAATTGTTCGCAGATATTGTAACAAATTTAGTCATAAAATAGCGGATGTAATTTTGTATAATATTTAAAATTAATTGTTTCAAGTGTTCATTTCTTTCGGCCACAATTTGATTACGAAAATGTATTTAATTAAATGTTCCGAGTAAAATTTGAAAATAAGGACTAGTAATTTTGAAACACATTATAAACTAGGTATAAGAGACAAGAACTCGCGACGCATATTCGAAAGACATCAGCAACGATTAACAAACTATCAACAATCAGGTCTCAACTTTTGTTTACGAGCCATCATGAAAATCTATTTACTCAAGGATCAAGGATCCTTTTAACGATCTATTAAAATTGATTTAGTACGCCTTTCGGCATATCACCCAACGATTTTGCGTGAAAGTGCATCCTATTGTGTATAGAAAATGATTTATGTAATAATATTTCCACGTAGAAGAATTACTTTAACGTGACGCGTAATGTATTAAAATATGATCAAAAAAGAATACGACAAACCGTTCTAACGATCTTTTATTCATATCAACTATTTTCTAATAAAATATTTTCTAATTTCAAAAAAAGAAAAATCAAATGAAATTCGAATGATTGCACAAAAGACACGCATTTTCATATTTAAATTCCATGAAGTATCGATCCTTAACTATGGAAGAAACATCGCTTACATGTTACATAGAAACAATCATGATTCTTTCCAAGAGAAATAGAAAGAAAAAAAATGTCTTTATCTCTCGATTAATTTCCGACGTGTCTGTATATCGTTGAAAGACGTGATAAGGTATTTATGTAATAAAAAGGGATATGTTGAAAAAAATGTAAGAAAAAAGAATAAGAGTTTCATCGACATGTTCGACCTCGGAGAATACTCTTCCCATTATCAAGCCCAATCTCTTGTAAAGTAAGTAAATGGACGTTAAAGCCTGGTAACGGCAGACCCCGGTCTCCCGGGGCCGAGTGCCTACCTAGATGGTCTCCAAGGTTGATTCCTGTATCTGCAGAGGAGTACCTTTTTGAATGTCTGTCTGAATACCTTATTAAAAATAGTGTAAAATATAGGATTGACCATAGAACTGGCATAACCGAGCCACGTAGCAAAATCAAATAAATTATGGCCGATTTGTCTCTCGCAATCTGGACAAACGGCTGGTACTAAATTCAAGATAAAAAATGGCGCCCATAATATAACGAACGTGAAGAATACTATTCCGAGTACTTTAGTAGCTTTTTGTTCGAGTTTTATTATCCTACCATGTCTCGAACTATTCCTTGATACGACGCTACTCGTTCTCGAATGATGACTACGAACACCACCGGGATATCTCAAAAGACAAGGGGATGACACATTCCCAGTTTGTTTCGATGACGTACTACTTGCTATGCCTGTTGCTATTATAGTTGATGATGTTGTTGCCGTTGCGCCGTTGCGCGCGCGCATTGTTGCGGCTCTTTTTAATGGGGTTGCTCTGGAACACGCCAATTGAGTCCTTGTGCTACCTGTCGGTAAAGAAATATCTAATATAGAATAAATATAGTTATATAATAGAGAGTCTATTTAGAATATTAACCTTTAACTTTAAGAATTAGAAATTTACCTAAACTTGAACCACGTCTTCCACCCCTCCAAGTAACAACCGAATTAGATGGTACTATTTCGTTGATTCTCCCACTATTCTTCCTACTAAGAAGATTCACCTCGAGTGTCCTTTCAGAAATAGGCTTCATGGTGTTGCTCGATACATTTACAACTTCGGTAGGCTGTGGCATTTGTTTTTTCGAAGATTCTCCGAAATATGGACAAGTGCAAGGTGGTGGCAAAAGTATCGTCGTTATTTCATTATCCGATTTGTCTGAAGATTTCCTCGATTTGGCGTTATCCTCGTTCGCCGAGCTTTTTCTCGACGAGGAGGAACGTCGTCTAAACGTCGTTTGCTCGTTAAAACTGAATGATCTTTTCCGAGGCATCTTAGGTGAGATCGAATCAGCTCGTTGAAGGTGTGCCTCGTTATAAGTCGATGCTCTACGCCTATGTTTCCAAGGAATCGGTGAACTTAAATCATCCTGACCCATTGATAAACTCGTCCTTGAACCCGATCCACTACTTCCTCCGCTATCCCCACTGCTGTTATAATAAAAGAAGTGATATATTCTGTTCGTTGGTTCGAACAAATAGTCAGACATATAAAAATAGTTTCAAAGAAAAACATTGAAAAGACATTTGATAGACTTTGATTTTTCTTTTTTTTCTTTTTTTTTTTTACAATCCAATCTTTTCGATTTAGGAAGAACAAAATTATTCGTTTGAAAATTCCCTTGTTATATATTTACGTTCAAATCTAATGACTCTTTGCTGACTTCAAAGTTTATAAAGAAAATAAACATATAGGATATTTTGATTTCACTTCAGCATCGAAATCACCATTAGGGTTACATCAATTAAATGACAAAAAAAAACACTCCCGTCCTTTTCTTCTTTTTCTTTATCTCGAATGTGTGAATTTCTGCTAAAAAATACGAGCTAGGGAAGATCTTTGAAAAAGTATTTGTTTTTACATAGGAAATTCTTTAGAAAAAGAAGAGAGTGAAAGAGAAGTGCGTTAAAAAGCCAGCTGCATCGGGCGTTCTTGACATATATCCATCGATGTGGACATTCCCTATCGATTTCTCGATGCGACACGTCGATGATGCATTTTTACGTTAAGCGAAAGCATCAATAGTGAAGCATCATAAAATTCCATTTTAATACCGTATTTAGAAAGAAGCAAGCAAGCAAGGAAACGAGCGAACGCGAAATTGATCTACAGATCTTTCCATCGTTCGATAGATCGATCATATCGATCAATCTATAGCTTTGTCATTGACAATTTCTATTTCCTTGTAGTCTCTTCGATTCAACTTTTATATTATGAGTGAACATTACTCAACAAGCATTCTGTTGTAACTTTCGCAAATCCTGCAAACGACACATGTTAGAAAAATTCAGAAATTTTTCTATACAATAATCGAATACTTTACACTTTATAACCCAATCTTTACTGTATTATCCCATACATATACAAAATTTTGCACAAATATGAAATAGCCCGTGAGTGCTATTTTTTGTTCTTTGATTATGTTTCTTTTTTTTTTCGTTTTTCCTTGCTACAATTTTCTAATCTCATTAAATTATTGATTTCAAGCATAACATTTTATATTAATCAATAAAAAATTTAGGATAGAATATGTGTGGTTTTTAATTATTTTTTTTTTTTCTACATTTAAATTTGCATTTTTATTTATTTTGCAAAGTTTAAAATTCCTTTTAGGTTTACATAAAGTTAATTCAAAATTCTAAGTAGCATTAGGTAAAAGAAATATAATATTAAATTTAATTTAATGCAGTTTCATTGTTTTCAAAGGAAATTGATAGAAAAGTATCATCCAGAGAAAATATTTTCACGATTCTATCGCAAAAAGTGAAACTAGCAACGTAAGAGAACGTAGTGAAACTAGTTACGTAAGTGGAGTAAGAAATATTTGAGAAAACTAGAACTCTATCCCTACTCCATTGTTTTTTCTTCTTCATCAATTACCGTGAAACGATCGGTTAGATCCTTCTGTCTCAAAGTTTTATAAACTATACGTTTCGTGATATTTTCGAAATCGAATATCGATTCGAGTAGATGATTGCATTTAATAGTGGATTAGCTAATAATTAATAACGAAATTTTCAATTAAACAAAATATTACATCACTTTTCACAATAAAATCATATAAAAAATAAAATGAAAACTAATAAAAATGTTCAATATAAAAAACTATGATTATCCCTGTTATTTATTTTAATATAAAATACTAGTGCCCTATATTATTTATTGATCACCGATAAATTCGTGAAATCGTGACAGTTTCATTTTACTAACACTCTAGTCGTTTTTCTTATCCATTGTAATTAATTTCCTAAGAAAGCATTTAAACCTCGAGTATCTACGTACGTAGAAAGCAAATGACGTAGCATCTACTTAAATACAACCCCAATGCATTTCTGTTTCCTTTCTCAAAGGCGAAGTAATAGGCAGACATTCGTGATGTTAACGAAGGAATCTTGTTGCAAAGAATACCGAGAATCGATTCTGAAGTTTCTGTTTTCTTTGAGAATTATAAATGAAAATAATCCATTGTGAAAGAAAGAAAGTCAGGTAAAATAACAATGGTAATAGTTACCAATTTGTATCTTTTTCATCTAACTTTCGCGATATTTTTCCATTGAAATATTCAAACAAACTTTTAATTGATATTTATCTAGACAATATTATTTCAAACGTTTCTAATATATTTATACTGAATAAAATAATCATATCATATACCATCTAATTATTTTACAAAATATTTATAATAGCAACACTAATTCTGTTATAGAAATTTCAATTGATCAGAATTTAATTTGAACAAAATAAATAATAGTAGACATTTATTTGTATAATTTGTAAAATACTTTTCTATTAAACGTAGAAAAGAAAGTTGATTTTTGTGTCTCCCGTTAAAAACGTCTTTTACACTTATATAGATAGACATTGTGTGTACATATAAATAAATATATATATCTACGTGTGTCTTTATGTGTGTGTGTAATCACCCTCAGGCTTTTCGGTAGAATTCTCGCGAAAAGTGTGAAAATGTCGGATGATAGTGGGAAACCAGGATACCGTTATATATGTTGCGGTGACGCGGTCTCAAAGTGGATTGCACTTAGCTACTGGCATTCAAAGTGCAAAACGGACTCCAGGGAAGAGAGGAGTCTCGTTCACCTCGTGGTCGCACTTAAGTAAACTTCTCTCCCTCTTTCTCCCTATACATATATATATGAAACTGTTTAATAAAGGAATGTGCACTTAGCTCGTGTCTCTAAACGCGTCTCTATGTTAATCGAGTCTCACCCTTGTTAATGATTTAACATTAACATTGATATTTTCATCAATATCTTACTCTTATCCATTATTTCATCTTTTCTAACAAAATTTCAATCATTCCGATCGCAAGAATCAAGCACTTAGACAAGTTTGCAATGAAGGGTTAAGGATTAAGTTGAGATAAAGTTTCACTAACGTATGATTTTCGTGTTCGAGGCTCGTTAAAGGATAAGAAGGTGTCTTTTCATGATTAACGATGTGTACTGTTTCTCTATCTCTCTCTCTCTCTCTCTCTCACACACACACACACACACACTAATTAATTATCTTCTATGTTTAAATTGTTATAAAAAGAGAGAATGAAGAAATAAAATATAAAAGTAAGATAGGAAAAGATGAATTTGAGGGAAGTTCGAGTCGTGACAGATAGAGATGGGAAGTGGTGGTCGCTTGCCAATTTTTCCTTTCAAGACGAAACCGAGAACACGTCCAGTTCGATAAATCGTTCTTTGCTCTCATTACCACCTCTCTGGTGGGTTCCTTATGAAAAAGAGAAAGTACTATACTTTTACCCTAGTACAAGTTCAACTATTTCTCTCTTTCTCATCTATTAAGTTCTTTCCTTCTTTCTCTTTTACTCGATTGAATTATCGCAGCCAGTAACTCATACGAATCTACCACATTCGATAATACTAACCCAGAACTCTTACTCGAGAGAACCCACTCGCTTTTCAGCTAATTGCAAGTTTAAGCTGCGAACGCTTACCCGGAATCACGTGCCACACGAAATTAGGTGCTCCACTAACCCTCTCTTTCTTTCTTTTTCTTTCTAACGCATTGACTTACACACCAAATGTTAGAAATTTAACTTTATACGGATAGGAAATAACACTCGAAGATTATCGAATCATTACGAACAACAACGAATCGATACTGAATCTACTATTTTAAATTAAATGATACAATGATTTTTCTTCTCATGATATTATTTATTTTATTTGAAAATATTTATTTGTCAATTTTGGAATATTTTTATTGGATTATTAAAAAAAAGAAAAAATTATAATAATAATAACAAGATAGGCTTTTATCGTGAAAATATTTCAATACATTTTTCATTTTGTATTTCACCGATTACTTTTCCAACATTGAAGTATAAAAGAAAAAGGGAGAAAGGAAAAAATGAGCTATTCGAAATGTATTGAATATTGCAAATCTCGGCTTTGCACTCGCACCAAGTTTGAAGGATTTAATACAACAGATGTATGCAATGGTACTTACTTTAACAATGGGAACCCCTGTCTCCTTTCATTGGGATCGATATGAAATTCTCTTCTCAGAGAAACGTCTTTCTATCTATCTTTTTTTTTCACTCTTTTTTCTCTCTCTCTCTCTCTCTCTCTCTCTCTCTCTCTCTCTCTCTCTCTCTCACTCACTCACTCTACCGAAAACGAATATCTATAGTGCCTTTTCTAGTATTATTATTCCTTCCTTAAGGTTTCTTAACTTCCAATTAGATTTATTCAATTCCAACTTATTACTTCTACTATAATTTATAATTTAAAACGTTTTCTGACATATTATAACTAATACGAAAGGATGAGAGATGAAAGCATTTAAGTTTTGCCAGTAGATATTTTTGGCGAATCGATAAAATGATAAATAGATGAGTTTTTCACTTGGATAGTGTTGGTATATATATACATATATACTATAATTTTATTTTATATATTCTCAAAAGGTTTCCTTCCTCGCTATCTCCTTTCGAAATACTTGGCGAAATGAATGCGAGATGAAAGAAAATATTTAGTGAAAAGTTTTTCCTCCAAGAACGGGGGCTGATAAAAATAAAAACAACATTCTTTCTGAAAAGTGGTGGTGGTAAGGCGTGTTGCGTTACGATTTTCCTCGTAGAAGTCCATCAACCTTTTCAAATTTAACGAACGAACAACTATTATCTTCCTCTCTACCTAAAACCTTTTTTCAATCGATAACCCTTTCATCCAGAAAAGGGATGATCTTTCATTCTTCGATCAAAGAAATTTGACGAAAAAGATTCTTCGATTTTCTTTGCATTATCCCAATCAAATCTTTTTCTTTTATTTTTATTTTTTTATCCGACAGAGAAAATCTTTCCTCGTTTCCGTTTTCATCCATGAAATATATTATTATGGATTAGGATCAACTTTCACGAATTAGGTCGTAACTTGGATCAAAAGAAAATTGCCGAATCAAGCGAAAATGGAATTGATTCGTTCAAAACGTTTTCATCATACTTCTTTGACGTCGTTTTATCGTTCGGAGTAAAAAGAAAAATAGACAGAGAGAGAAAGAAATAAACAGACAGATAGAGAAATAAAATTCGAGTAACCATTCTCTTGAAACATAGGGTGTAAATTGTTTTTTGAAAAATCGAGGAATTTCTTGAAACCGCTTTTCTACGTTCATGAAAAGACGATATTTATATACAGGGTAAGCCATTTCAATAGGAACTCTTTCTTATCTCCGTTATTTATGATTTTAATATTTAAAACAAGGAACACCCTGAAAAGCTAAAATAAATATCTTTTTTTTTTTTTTTTTTCAAAGTATTCATTTGCGGACGATTTCGAGAAGATCACTAGTTTTTTAAATACAATATATTTCTTACTAAATTAATCAATCGAGTTTGTAGTTTTGTATAAATAACAAAATTATCCTATTTATATCACAATGTTTTTTTTTTAAATAAGATTATATACTTTTTATTAAATTAATCGATCCAGTTTATAGTTCTTTATAAATAAAAAAAAGTTACTCTGTTTATATCTCAAGAAAAGAAAAAAAGCTATTAAATTATTTTATAAAACCGTGCGTGTGCGCGCGCGCGCGCGTGTGTGTGTGTGAATAAGGGAAAATATTGAACTTTCCCGATTAAAATGGGTCACCCTGTACATATATATAGATAGAAAATAAAGAGAGAGACAAGTACGCGACTAAGTTGATGAATTCAATGAAATCTTAATCGTCGAGAAGGTTGAAACAATCCGTGCTAATGAAGTATTCGCACTTTACCGAGGTGAGGGGAAAGAGAGAGAATTCTCGAGGTGACTTTACGTTTAGAAACTGAAGTTTCATTTGAAAACGACAACGACGACGAATGTATCGTTCCAAATTTACGGACTCCATCGACGACGATTAATTCTACGCGAGTTTCTGCGTAAAACAGTAGTTTTTATTTTTAATAGTTTTATCCTAATGACTCCTATTACGTTTAACGATCCCAACATTGCTTTCCTTAACAAATACTTTTAATCTTTTCCGCGATAGTTTTCAAGAATAACTTATGCTCTTTCGTAAGGTACGATTACGTATATTTAGGCAATAAAATAAAAAAATAGGAAAAGTATTAACTCTAAAGTAGATTGAACATAGGTATTATTTTGATATCCATTTTTGTTTTCTTTAATTCTTCTTGATTATTCTACAAAATGTTTCGCGTAACTTGCACACCTTAAATAATTTTTTAAAATCATTCGTTTAATAAACAATTATTTAAATGTAAAGTTTGTATGATTTCAAGAGGAAGATATGATGGCTTATCAGTTTTTCTTGTTTGTAAAGGGGTCTTGATATATTCGTGGTCAACTTTATTTCTTCTTTTGTTTTTTCTATCGTAAATTATCTCATTAGTTTGTTTTTTTAAATGTAATATTATATTGATAGATGAAATAGTAATGTATGATTCTATTAAAAGAAATAAAGTTGATCAAAGTTCTGAAACTTGCCCACGTATGAGAAAAAATGATGCATCATCATTTGCCCTACGCTATGCAACTATTGTAATTAGCAAATTTTCATTAGACACATATTTACAAAGTTATTTGAGATATAAAAGTCACATGAATCATACTGCATACTGTAAAAGTACTCGAAGTTGTATTTGTAAAAAAAAAAAAAGAAATTTACTGGAATTTTTAGTTTTTTCATTTTTTGTAATCACCTATACGAAATCTTGTTATTAATTAAGGGGGATTAAATTGAATTATTTTTTTTTTCTTATCGTTTTACATCGTATATTACTCTTCCTATCGAGCTAGATGAATCTACGAACGATAACGAATAGCCAATCTCGAGTACCGTTCGTTCTTTCTATCTTTTTCTTTCTTTCTTGCCCCACCCCCTTCTCTTTCCTATGTAGGAAACAAACCAGCTCAGTGGATGATAAAGAGAAGGCTTGGACTGGAATATCAAGCCGATGCTTCACTTCTTTCCTGCACGCTAGTTTCGACTAACATCTCATAAATCAGTCGATATATAGAACCGAGAAAATACTCTAACGTTGAAAAATGTTCTAGTTTTTTTCTAAAACACGTACCTAACAATCGTTCAAATATTTTTCTAATATATTTTAGAAAATATTGAAATATATATATATGGCAATTGATTGACGAATTAACGAGATTGAAAAATCTGCAGGTTTTGGCTCATTTTCGTACTAATGTGAAATTTACATTTGCGTATTTCTCTCTATAAAATTTACTTAATGATCGTGTTTATACATATATTCAATTAAAAAATAAATAAAAAAAAAAATATTAATTTGTACATGAGTTAACGAGATTAAAAATCTTCTAATTTCGGCACGTTTTCGTCCAGATTGGAAGTCATTTTAAAGGGTAGACACGGGCAAGATTAAATTCGTTTGTAACAAAAGTGAATAATAACTCGAACTGACGTATTCTGACCGCACAGGAGCAGTCGACGGTTCTTGCATTTGTGTAATGACGCAAATTCAACATATACACACCTACATAAATTTTGACTTTCGTTGTATTAACTGATAAACTACAAACAAATGGAGGAGAATATTTTCATGATAACTCAGGCGGCAACAATTATTCGCTATGATTTCTCTTTGCTGTCCAGTTTTAAAAGAAATCTTTGATATTACACACAAACGTAGTTTTATTCTCAACATATTCCATATCCTCGTAAATATGTCCTATAGAAATAACCAAAAATAAACTAAACAAAAATCGTTTAACGTTGTATTCTATTCAAACGATCTAAATCTATTGCGAAAAATACCTTCGTCTATTTCTTTCTCTTCTTATTCCGATCCAGGATTTATACAAACTCTTCTTAGCTATATATCGATAAATACGCTTTAAAACACGATCGTAAATATTTACTCGTAAAATCGTTTACGAATTACGTAATCGTTTCTTCCTCCCACCTCGAGTTCTTTGATAGTTTTCATACAATTTCGTATTTATTAGGTATACATCTAATTCTCCTACAAAAGAATTACTTTTTCTATTTACTTAATTAATTAATTTATTTATTTATTTGGAATTTTTATTAATTAATAATAAATATTATCTTATATATCGTTCAATATAAACATTTCTATGATACCAAGCATATCAATAAATTTATGTTCCTCGTAACGTTTGCACTTTTTCGTAAGAAGATATTGACGTTTGATGTGTTGCAACGATTAGATTTGATCAATGTGCACAATCACATGTATGTGTATACACACACGCGCGCACGTACCAATACACGGTTAGTCGAATAACGTATGCACTGAGGAATAGGTTGGCACATAATCTGTAAAAGGAACGATATTCCATCTCACCACAAACACGGATACGCGGTTATCTCGGAAAGAGTAAAGCATTGCATCGTAATAGTTCCTTCTCTCGTGTTTCCTTTGTCAATATACGTCATTATTCCCCTCTCCTCCTGCCCCTGTACTATTGTGAAAATAATTCCAAAATTAAATCCAAATTCATATTCCATCGTAAAGGAGGTCATCATATACTGATTTTTTTCGTAACAATGCTTTGATATTTTTCTTTGAAATTTCATCTTCCTTTTCATTATTTACCTTTGTCTTTCTTCCTCTTTTCAATCATCGACTCATTCCGTACACTTCTGAAAGAGAAAGAGAGAAATCTCTTTGCAAAATTTTCAGTGTGTGTTGTCAGGTTCGTTTCTAATTGTAAATTCTCCCTCGTTGGCTCTTCGGCAATTCGCTGCTTGCGACAGAATTTTCATCAACGAGAGATTCTCTGCTGACTGACTGTGTAAGAACTTCTGTTTTTAACATTGACTCCAACTTTGGGATTCAAAATACCTCGAAAATAATGTGTCTATATGTGTACACACATATATGCATGTATATACGTTAAACACACAACTCTCACACTTATACGGTCAACAGATATACATATAATAAAAAGGAAAAATATGAAAGATAAGAGAAAAAAAATCCAAAATAGCATCATTACCCGTCTCGAAAGCTGGATCGATGTTGTTGTTGCTGATGGTGTTGCTGATGAAGCTGATGATGATGATGATGATTATGTTTATGATGTTGATGTTGCTGCTGTCGTTGTTTTTGTTGTTGCTGTTGTTGTAGTTGTTGAATACCACCTGAAGAATGATGAGCACCCGAAGTTGATGGTCTGCCCATCCTAATTGGAGTTTGAGTTAAGGGACTGGCTATACCTTCCAATCCTCTGGATAATTTTAACATTTCAGCACCGAAAGCATGAAGTGCCGACATCGCCGATGGTGGTGGGTCGCTTTCAGGAAGCCATAATTCGTGATTGTCGAGGGTTGTGAGTTCTGTGTCGGTAGATGTACCAGAAGTATGCTGAGGAGTACCACCACTTCCGGCTGAATTTTTATGCAGTAGAAATCTCTTCCACGTTCCACGCCTCTCCAGACCTGTGGACACAATTTTTGAATTCTTACACTTTTCACATATTTACTTACAAATAATTATCTTTTTTTTTTTATGTTTATCTCGGATACAGCAACTCGTTTTATTGGGTCGGTCAATAAGTAGTGTTGGAATTTTCTTTAATAGTTTGTATTTCAATGAATAATATCAATACTTTTTACTTGATATTTGAATAACCGATGCACTAATATTCCAATCTTACTAATTTGTCTGACTAATATTTCAATTTCTAAATAATTTTTTTAAGAGGACAAAATTATTTAATCATTCTTCATAGAGAAGAACATCTATCGTTTATTAATACAGAGATAGTCAAATATATTCCTATTATTTCATTTCAATTGGCTTTTACACAGTGCAATGAATAACGAGTATGTTTATATAAAGGCATTGCAAAAACGTATTCCGAGCAACGCAAATTCGATATTATCCTTGGACAAAGGAATCTCTCTCTCTCTCTCTCTCTCTCTCTCTCTCTCTCTCTCTCTCTCTCTCTCTCTTTCTCTTTCTCTTTCATTCCCTCAGGAGTTTCGCGAGACTCTTCTAGTGAATGATGCAGAATTTCGTTGGTGTGCTAAAGTTTTGCCTTTTCAAAACAAAATACTCTTTGCTTTCCTACAAAATATACTCCAGTGTTTCTAAGCAGCCTAATTACCGATCTAATTCCTCTATCTATTAACTAACTTTGTCTACGATTAAATTAAATAACTATATTCGTTCGAAATATTTCGAAATTGAAACATGATAATTAATCATTCAAGAAAATATTGTCTCTCGTTTGAATAATATTATATTAAATTTGATCATTTTCAGAATGATCCTGAAGTATTCAAAACGGTCGTTCATTATCGTTGAATTCCGAACGGTAGATTAGTTTCCGATATGATTATCTATAATGTGTGAAGTATTTATCATGTTCCCGGGGGGGGGGGAGAATTTTCATTATACGAAAATAGCGCATTAACACAAACATTGTTAATGTGATATTATTAATATGTGGATATATGTACATGGAACGATTGGTCGTCCAAGCGAGCATGTTTTATGTATAGTTGATATATGATCATAACTACAGATGAAAAGTTATTCGTTTAATATTAGTATAATATATATATAATTCCGATAATCGTATTCTCATATGCGTAATTTACAAACAAAAGACGTAAAGCAAAGTAAAAAGAGGAGAAAGAGATCGAGAGAAGCTTATTTTGTGCTATAAAATATAATCCGTGAAATATATTAAATTCAATAATAATTTTCCGATCTTATATTAACATATTTATCTAATTCCTTTTTTTCTGATATTTTTTTCAATTGCGATTTCTAATATCAAATATAATATTACATAGATGGATGGGTTGGAATTTGATGAAGCCCCTTTCCCCAAAATAACAATTTGTATTATTTTTTAAAATAAAAGTTATAGTGTAACCGAGACAAAAAATTGTTTCTATGTTAGGCTCAAAGCTTTTCAACCCATCCATGTATATTATGTAAAATATTATTATAATAAATGTATACTATAAACGTTTGATAAATTTCTGATGCAGGCCGATGGTATCGACAGTTCAGGTTGCATTGATTAATTTCTTGGATCGTTCATTTTCTAAACCATCCCTATTTAGCATACCTCGACACGTTCAAAGCTAATACATAATGACCTCCCACCTATCTTCGTGTCCTGCTTCTGGCAGTGACTTTGTTCGCGTGGACACGATGGTCAGAGGCTCTCTAGTGTGTACTCTTATAAAAATTCTTTCATCCTGCCAAATGGGCGTTTCGAGGATCGTCTGACCGAGAAATAGAAAAAATTGTCAGGAAATCTAATAAAAAGGTCACCGTACGATTAATCATTATTCTCTTATTTCTCGATAAAATGGATTTTTCATTGAATTTCTATTTATTTCATTTCTATCGAAAATTTATATTCAATTTCATTTCTATCGAAAATAAATGATCACACACGCTTTATATCAATAGTTTGTCCATATTTATAATCAAAGTAAATTAGTAATTTAAAAATATTGATCGAATAAATAATTGTTTGTTCATGTTTCTCTATCTGATGTTCAATGTTCTAAATTCTTTTCTTTAGTCCTTATTTTATTATTTTCTCCTTTTTTCCTTTTTATATAAATTACAGGAGAGAAGATTATTATCCCGAGAAATAGTAGTATTAATAAGTACGCCATCATGGCACCGATCGTCTATAATTCTGATCTTACAAAACAACATTCCTAGGTTCTCACTAACCGCTACCTAATCTGACCGACTTTTGGTATAGTATGCCATAGATTGTCACGTCAGCGGCTCGATTTATTTGCAAGTTAAATCGACCGATGCAAATCTTCGTTGCGCCCCGAATAGGACTTGATCGTACACGGTGGTGGTGCGGTCCCGCACGTTCCAATTTTTCGGCCGCATCGCGAAACTCGCACGAACCTCTCAAAAAAAGGGAACACGACTCACCCTAAAACACTCGGGCAGAAAAAAAAGAGAGAGAAAACTAATCGGAAAGAAAGAGAGAAATAGATAGAGTATAATATGTAGGAGAGAATGTGAGAGAGAGAGAGAGAGAGAGAGAGAGAGAGAGGGAGGGAGGGAGAGGGAGGGAGAGGGAGGGAGAGGGAGAGATAAGCCCTATTCCGTTTTTTATTCGTAGTAAAACGAGTGAGAATGGGAATACTAAAATTCGATCGATCATAATCGAACATGTATTTTTATTTCGTTTTGTCCATGCCAAGACATATTGCCCTCGCATGAATCATTCGGGTTCGACTAGTAATTTCTTTAGATAAGGAAGAAAAGAAAGAGAAGTAGGGAGAAATGATATTAGAATATGAGTAGAAGTATAAGGAAACCAACGAAAAAGCAACAACAAAAATGATATGCTATAAAAGTGCAAATTAGAATTCAATGATACATACTTTAAAAGAATTTCTCGTAAATCCTCGGTAATCTTTGAAGCAACTTATATTTTTTTCGTTTAAGATGATGAGGGTGATCGATCGAGGTTCAGTTATGTTCGCTCTTCATTTTCTTCTGTTTTTTTTTTTTTTTCAAACATAACGAAGTAATCTCCGCTTGAATAAAAAAGGTTCTCTTTCCTTCTCTTCTTTTTTTTCCTATTTTTATTTTGTTTGTTTTATTTCTTCCAATCCAAAAATGACGGAGCACGGTGTACGGACTCGTTGTAACGTAAAACGTAAATTTCATAATCTCCGACGTCCTTTGAAATACACTTGTAACTTTCTCTACCCCCTTTCCTTTCCTATAACCCCACCCTCCATCACACTCGCTCTCTGATTTATTTATAAAGCCAGGATGAACTTTCGCGACTTTTAACTAAATAATAATCGGCTTTGTAAAAGGGAGTGTTTGTAACAAAATATTCTCTCGTAGAAAGAGATAAAAATTGTTCATATCACGAGAGCTTATTTCAAATAGAACTATGTAGGTTAATTCAAACGAAGTTAAATACATTTAAGAATATTAAAAAGGAAAAAAAGAAAAACATGGGTATCACTTTCTCGATCGTACCAAATGTATTTAATAACAGTGTTAAGAGTATTGTGTCGACTAGAAAATGAAAGAAAAAAACTTTTTTGGAGAGAACAGAAAAAAAAAATAGAATAAAATTGTCAAACGTATTCTCTTTCTCTCGTTATGATGATTACTTGGTATTTCAATCAGAAGTCTACAGATCATTCGTTCTTTCTTATTCCATTTTTCTTCCTTGTCTTTATATATTTTTATTATATTTTTTTTTTTTATTTCATTGCATAGAAGAAAAAAGGGAGGAAAAAGATGACCCGGTTTAACGTTTTAAGATCCAAAGATACTTCGGCCTCCCTATTCCTTTTTCATCGAGAATTCTTCCCCTTCCTCTTCTTCCTCTCTTCCATGAAACGTTGGACAAAGGAAACCAAGCGGCAGAACTAATCGCAATCTTGAACGATACGAGACACGAAGGAAAAGCGTGGAAATCGATGTCGGATTACATCGAACTTTACTGCAATAGGTCTTTATATTAGGTTCTTTAAGAAATGAAAGTAAAGGAAAAAAAATATATATATAGATAGATAGTTTTCGTTGAATCAAGATCGTTCCCCTTTGACAAATATTTTCTCTCAAGTTTGGATTAAAAAACTTATTGGCTTTCTATTAGTTTCGTATCGTTGATATCATTTTACTAATTGCCTAGCTATTTCTTTTTTCCCAAATCTTTTCAGAAACGAATTTTTTATTTTAATAATAGCCAATGATATTTTTTGTTAACTTGATTTAAGGTACATTAAAAAGAAAGAAAATATGTGCAAATGTTATATTAAAAAAATTAAATTTAATTGTCCACATTTTTGTATTAAAGGACCCTTAACAAATTATTTTAACTAATACCTGTCTGTGTGTGTCTACATTTATTTACTAACCCTTTAATATATAGTTCTCGTTAAATTCAGATCGTATCCCTTGAAAGACTATTGAGTTATTTGGATAGTAATTTTTTTTTCTTCCTACAGAGCTTTTATTAATCGCGTTTACCTAGACCTTACTTTTACTCTAATGAAAACCTCAAATTCGTTTTACATTTTTGCAACAACAGACACTTCAGACGTGATTTAAAACTTGTTTGTGTTTCTATCTACCAAGTAACATTTTTTTTAATGTTTTATTTATCTTTTATTATAAGGATAATAATGCGGTATAAAAGAAAACAAAATTATGTGCCATCTACGAAAACCTAAAAAAAATGTCTAATTCTAAATAAATGATTTTTCTCGAAACATCCGATAGTATGAATTTAACATTTTGTCTTTCAATGGTCATCTTATTTTATTCGAAAGATGTCTTCCAACATTTTACCTAACAATAAACATTTATGTTTTTCCAATGGATAGAACATCGTCGATTCCTTACGCAACAAACGCAAGAGTACTTTTCGTCGCTTCGATGACTTGGAAAATTGAGAATGGAAATAATGAATTTCGAGGCAAGAAATAGTGAGAGAATACGACCTGTTCAATAATGTTAAAAGAAAAAATAAAAGAATAGAAAGAAGTGAGGAAGACAACGACAACGACGACCAATGACTATGGTCTACTCTAAGTTCGTTCGGAATCGTCTATTTGAAATCGGTATGCAGGAAACAGCTGCAACCCGTAAACGTAAATTTTATCCCACCACCTAGAGAGAAATTTCCGAGTATCGGGGAAAACTATTTCTATACCAAACTACGTTAAACTCTTGTCGCGAAATTTAAATATTTCATTTATTTGATCTAAATAAATGGTCACTATATATTATATATATACGAATATATTCAGTTTAAATAAATATAACAAATAGTCACAGTGTATTCATAATCCGAGAAGATAAAATCAATCAAAAATTGTTTTCAAATACTGACCCGATAAATATTCACCCAATCAAGTCTATATGAAATCGCCACGCGTATACGTCGTTTTGTATTCCGAGAACTAAAAAATATATTTATTTTATTTTAACATACAAAATGATATAAAAATAATATACACAAAAATAATTAAAACAGATAATATTATTTCGTAAAGTGTAATTCTCGAGTCGAAAGTTTAAGTAATTTTTTAATCCATGAAAATTAAATTGGTACTCGATAAAAATAATAATAATAATAAAAAAAGTGAATAATAATGTACACGAAGGTACACACACACATTTGTATCTAAAAACAATTTCCCTTTATTATAGATTTTATTTAATCTCCATAGCTAACAACGCACTCGAATTTCAGACTGGTGAGATATATTTTGCAAACGAAAAAAAAAAGAATAAAAAAAAATTGATAGAAATACTTTGTAGAGATTTACAAAGGATGTTATAGGAAAATTTAATCTCTGCCAATAGCTTCGTTCGTACGTTGTATATAAAAGAAACATCAAGGATTCGTTTCCAATTGAACGACGCTACATAAACTTTATCTTCGATATAATTCGACTACACATAGATCTAACATATCTACTCTCTTATTGGTGAAAACGTCGGAATCAGTGTATCGTTTTCTACAGTTTCTCTCTCAATTTCTTCTAACGCTCAATGATCTTGAATTCGAACGATTTTTTCTTTTTTAACGCATGTAAGGATATATGTTTTTCTCATTTCGAAGGGATAGATTAGTAGTGAATAAAAGAAATAATGATTGCACCGGATTAATCATACGTGCATCGAGGAGGAGACACTTTAGATGATAGACGAGAAAAACTTCTTTTTTTTTTACTTATTTCAAAAAAAAAAAAATATAAAAAAAGAAAAATAAAGTTCGATAAATTATCGATCTCTTTAAAAAAAAAAATAGAAAGGTTTTTTTTTATATTATTTCTATAAAATTTTTGGTTAGCTCGTATAAACGGGAAAATTTTTATCTCGCGAATACAGAGACATTTGGAGAATAATTTTATTCAAACAAGAATTATCTGATTAAAATGGATAAAATATTATGACGTATATTGTTTTTTATTTGGTGGTAAATTTTAAAGGTAGACTATGTTAATTTTTGTTTAAATAGGAACGTACAATTTTGGTATATATGTAATATCAACATATCCTACTAAAACAAATAAACTTTTATAAAAGATTTTTTCCAACTTGAATCGGAAAAATACGAAATGTGGTTACAGAAAGTTAAAAAAAGAAATAAAAAAAGGAGAAGGAAAGTATATATGTGATATTTCAACTACGATTTAACTCGTTCTTTTATTCCGGTTCGCTTTTAACGCAAGCGCGCGCGCGCGCGCGCGCGTGTGTGTGTATGTGTGTGTGTATTATACTTGGGTGAATATTTGCTTTTCTCCGTGCGTTTAGTTCCATCAGTGGAACCGGCAAAGGCGATTGAATTTCACAAAGAGATAGGTGTATCAGGTGATAACGCCTTCTCGAAGAAAGAACTCGCCTTTTACGTCCTTCGACGTTCCTACGCATTCTCGCCTACGTACTAAGTTAAACATCAAAAAAAAAAATTCTCTATGCTTTTTCGATATCTTTAAATCTCATGGTATCGTTCGATTCACATCATCTCGAACGAATTGATAAATCATTAAATAGTCTTTATGATTTTATCGTTTATATACGATCTATTAGAATATCGAAGTTCAACTCTTCGAAACATTTCTTCCTACTTTACGGGAGAGAAATAAAAATTAAATTTATTATTAGAAAGAGTCATTTAAAACGAATCACGAGTGGTTATAAAGGTTTCATTTAAATTTTACCTCCGATGTTATTGGTTTATTGTCTTTCACTTTACGATCATTGTAACTTGAAATATTTTTTTTTTATTATTTAAACCAATATTAAATTGATTATTATCGTAGGTTCGGTGTTTGACAAACGTGATTTTTCTTTTTCCCAATACAGTCTTAATTTGTTGCCTGCGATAAATTTAAAAAACAAAAATAAAGTATGTTTATTGGATAATTATTAACAGAGTCACTCGATAGAAATAACAAAGTTATTATTCGTATCCGTCTGTTGGTTGAGAAAACAAGTTAATTAAGTTGCTGATGAAAGTTACTTATATTAGTTATCAACGAGATGACCTATTATGTTCCTCCATTAGAGAAAATATAATTGGACGAGATAATTTATTGCAATGGATGCTTGCGAGATAGAAATAATAAGACACAGGTCAGTGTACCTGATATTACACTAACCTCCCGTGGATGCACCTTGTGGACCACCCAACCATCCCGATGACCAACCTGTACCTCCACCAATATTCTGTCTCTGTTTAGCCAATAGTCTCACCGTCAATGCATATGTGAGTAGCATTACACCCAGTGGTATGTAGAAGCAGATTATGCTACCAATCAGCTTATACAAAGGATCTGGAATTTGGCAGGCACCGTCGACCAATACGGAATTATGATCCTGAAACAATTGAAAAGTAATTCGAACGATTAACATTCCACAGTTAGCCACGAAATGTCTATCATTAGAATTGTTTTTAATAAAAGATCAAATGTGTGAGATGATAGGGTTAAAATTATGGGTGGGAATGAATATATTAAATGTATAAGGTGATTAATGTATACGTACATTTATTAAATTACTGTATATTATAACATGCCTAAAAGCTAGCCCCGGATATGCCTTTGATTGACTATGCATATATGTGGATTCAAAAGATTTATAAACTAAAATGTGCATAATAATTTCACCTAGATATAAGGAAAATATGTTATTTAATATCTTGTATAAAATCCAAACAGTGTCCAAGTGAAATGTTGTCTGTCTCTTAAGCGGAAAAAATTATAATATTTATTATTTATTTAATTACTATATAATTTATATCTAAATATGCTATACCTACAAGTATATCCTTGCTGAATTATAAATATCGATGATTCAACAAAATATCCATAGAAAACTATTTGCTCTATCATAGATTTAAATTGAATTTGTATACAAATATTAGCCATATACTAAAGAAGAATTTGATTTGATTTTTATTTTTTTTCAGAACACCAGAGCAATGTCCAAGCGTAGTATCTCTCCTAGCTGAAAGTTATAATCCTCATGTCCGATATGGCGCCGCAATGGCTCTGGGAATTGCCTGTGCTGGTACCGGCTTGAAAGAGGCAATAGCACTCTTAGATCCAATGACGAACGACCCTGTGAACTTCGTCAGACAGGGAGCGTTGATAGCCTCGGCAATGATCCTCATTCAACAGACCGAAGCAACCTGTTCTCGCGTCAAGGATTTCCGTGCCCTTTACGCGAAGGTAGTTGTCGACAAACACGAGGACGTTATGGCCAAGTTCGGTGCTATTCTTGCCCAGGGTATCATCGATGCTGGTAAGATGATCGAAACTGCAATCTTCTCTTCGTTTTGGTAGAAGTAAGAGGAAGAGATGGAGGACGCTTCCTCTTCAGTCTTGAGAACTTTCAAGGAGATTATAAAGTAGCCTCGAGCTAAAACTTCCAATCTCTCTTCTCTCACCCTTTTGACACTGTTCAAATATTTTCGATGAAACATTCTGATCGTTCTCAAAACATCTTCATCATTTGATAGTTTATTTTCTTCTAATCAACGAAATTAATTATTTTCTTTTTTTTATCTTTTCGTAGGTGGTCGTAACGTAACAGTTTCACTTCAATCTAGAACAGGTCACACGAATATGTTAGCAGTCGTTGGTGCTCTTGTGTTCACTCAGTATTGGTACTGGTTCCCCTTAGCTCATTGTCTTGCCCTAGCATTTACACCTACTTGCTTAATAGCTTTGAATGCTCAATTAAAAATGCCAAAATTAGAGGTTCGTTCGAATGCACGTCCAAGTATCTACGCATATCCGGCACCACTCGAAGAGAAAAAACGTGAAGAAAGGGAAAAGGTCACTACCGCTGTTCTGAGTATTGCTGCACGGGCACGTAGGAAGGAATCTGAGAGAAGAGCACGTGACTCTCATGAAAAAATGGATGTGGTAAATCAACAATTTTTATTATTATTTTAATATTAATTATTCATTTTTAATATAATGTAATACGTTAACTGCATATTGTTTAAAATCAAGCTCGACAATCTGACATTTAAAATTGAGCCGTGTTCGCAGGTCAAAGCAAACTCCAGTATTAACAATTTTCAAAGTTTTATTATCAAAATTTCAATATACTACAAAAATAAAAATCAATGTTTAAGTTTTTATATTTAAAATAAATTTCCTCAATAATTAAGCTTATCATCAAATACGAACAATTTGTATGCTCGTTCGATAGTAAATCATACGACAATCGATGTTCTCTACTTTTGTTTTGTGAAATTAATCGATTTGACACATACAAGTGGTTCAATTATTAAATAAACGCTTTATCTCTTTTTGTTTACTCTTTCACTCTTAAAAAACGATTGTCTCTTACATGCAGGTGATATATAAATTCGCAAACTTTGTCGACAGATCGTGTTACTTTTTTTCTCGGTTTTGAAACGTACCAACCAGTCAACGTTGACTTCTCCCTTTGTAGCTTTGAATGTCAAAGGTCAATTCGTTTGTTCGTTTTTTTTTTTATTTGAATTATTTTCTTTGTTCGTGAATTAATTCGAGGGAAAGAAAAAAAAAGAAATGACAACAAGACCAACACAACATTCGGTTGAATATTTTTTAATTGAAATATTATTTAAAGGATCCACCTGTAGTGGTAGAAACGAAGGAAAGCGTTGAAGTCAAAGAAACATTGTCATCGTCATCGTCGTTGTCTTTGCCGTCGTCGTCTTTGCCGTCGTCGTCGTCGTCGTCGTCGTCGTCATCGTCATCGTCGTCAACAACAACGTCAGCGTCATCGTCGGCAACGGCTTCGAAAGATAAAGAAGAGAAGAAAAAGGAAAAGGAAGAGAAGAAGAAAGAAAAGGAGGAGAAAAAGAAAGAAAAGGATGAAAAAAAGAAAGAGAAAGAAGAGAAGGAGGTTAAGGATACGAAAGAGAGAATCGATAAGAAGAGCAAAGATGACACGGAAAAGAGCGAAAAGGAAAAGAAGGAACCGGAGCCTAACTTCGAAATTCTTCAAAATCCTGCGAGAGTATTACGGCAACAACTGAAGGTCATTCAATTAGTCGAAGGTAGTCCTTACGTCCCGGTCAAGGATCTTCAAATTGGTGGAATTGTTATGGTGAAACATGTTCAAGCGGATTCAGAAGAGGAATTGGTTGAACCAGTCGCTGGTGAGTTTTAATTATTATTATTTTTTTATATGATTATACTTTGTCTTTTTTTCTTTTTAAGAAAGATGTTTCAGAAATGAATTCGGTACCATAAACAAATGATAAATATGTTTTTAACACATTAAGCACCGGTCCCGCGTTGACACGCGGGTTTCCGAGTCTATCGCTTGAGCGCCAGCCCCGAAATGTTGCGCAGCAATTTTCTTGCTTTTATGAGTGTCTTACACGTTGATTTGCATTGTTCAGAAACACGCAAATAAGGTCAGCATAAGGGCTTTTGTGGCTGATATGTTGCCCCGGCGCTTAAACTTTAGATATCTTATATGTCGCCGGCTTTTAATGTGTTAAAAGACATCGAATTAATTTCTACACATTGGATTGATCAATAATTAATGTTGAAATTTTGTATATACAAAATATTAGTGCGTTGTTTGTTCAAATATTAAATATTAAAAGGTTTTTTTCAGTAAATAAAATATTTTATATGATATTTGTTTATTCATTGAAATATGTAAATTATTAAAATTTCCAACATTATCTATCATATAATCCAATGCTTGCATCAATAGATATGTGCAAGAAACTATTATGTGACATTTTAATTAAATAAATAACTATTTTGTCTTATTATGCTACAATTTGCTTCTATTTTTTTTTTTTTTTTGTGATTTCAGAGCCTTCAAAAAGTTTCTCTGTAAGGTTTAGGAAACCCCTTTATATAGTTATTTCAAAAAAGCATAATAAATGCAGTTTAAGTTAGAAAGTCAATATCTCAGAAAGTTACTTTTGTCACGTACACAGGTTCTTGCATACCCCCGGTTTGAAAAAGAAAATCAAAACAAAAATAAAATAAAATCAAAAAAGGAATTCAATTTGTCTACTAATGGTCAAACTAATGGTCATTTTAATTAAGACAGATTCGTGGCCATGATTAAAGTCAATTACTTAACCGTAAAATCTCTCGTAATGTCAGAAACCTTCTTATGAATACGTATCGACCTTTGGCCTTTTAAAATGGTGTATGTTTTAGCATTCGGACCAAAGCCAGATGAAGAAAAAGAAGCTGATCCACCAGAACCTTTTGAATATTCCGAAGATTAAGAGGGGGAACAATCTGACCTAATTAATTATTCTCCCGCTTAAAAGTAATAATAAGTCATTGTGTCTCATATATAGGTACAGACATATATACAATATATATACATACACATCATATATACGTAAATACGTGTCTCTCCTTTGTACGTGTACGCGCGTATTCTTCTTTAGCAAGATGCATTTCTATTCTTGATTGCTGTTATTATTGTTATTATTATTTTTGTTTTTTTTTTTCTTTTTATTTTTAGTACACCGTTTTAGAGTGATACTTTTATTTCGAATAAAACGGAACTTCGTCAAAGAAAACATTATTGTTTATTTATCCTCCTTTTCGATATAATCGACAATTAACATTTGGGATTTTTAACGTAATAAAAACAATCATGTGTGTAATCAATGTGTAAGAAACCCTCTTTGTTATTATTTCTAATATCATTGTTTCGAATAATACGAATTTATTTCGACATGATAATATTAAAGTTTATCACCCTTCTCTCTCTTTCTCTTTCTCTCTCTGTCATTTATCCCTATAATTGTGCATAATCGATAATAAAATATTTAATAATTGACAAATTGTGTCATCCTGTGTTTATTATTTGATCGGCCAAAAAGTTAATACCAATTTATAAATATTTTCTAATAAACGATTTTTTTCTTGCTTGTAAGACTAGGTTTCACGAAAAGTTCTTGCCGACTTCGAAAAGTAAATGTTTTTTTAAATATTTTATCAAAAATAAACTTACATTACCCTTATAATAAACGATCCGTATAATACAAATATTAATCAACCCGAACTTCCAGTGAAATCCAGTATTATTTTTCACAAGATATAAAATAGATTTGTAATAAAGGTAAGTGTGAAATTCAATATGATTATCAAGAAATTCATTTTATTATTATAAAAATATTATATTAGATCGTGTGTGGAAACTTCATTCCCATAGTACAATTTAAGGATGAAAGGAGAAAGAAAGAAAGAAAGATAGAAAATGAAAGAATATTATAGCTTGCTTTGTAACATCATCATTTTGTCATGTATGAAACTCAGAATGCATAGGGGTGTGATAAGCGGTAATGCCACAAACTATGTATGGATGTATGTACTTATGTATGTATTTCGTACTCGTGCACCGTTTATAATCATCGATTTACGTAAAGCTTTCGACGAACGTACGTATTATGCGTAACGTTATCGTACAAAGACCATATTTGAATTTCGTTGGCTTCACGCTAGATCAACCAGTACTTCGATTATCCGAAATTCGTTGAACCAATGAAACCACTATCTATTTTCTAACTCTCCAACTATCTAATTATATATAAGTACACCTTGTCTAACTAAATTGATTTGGCAAATGATTTTCAAACTATAATTGAAATTCGATTTCACATTTGATTAAGAAGTACAATTCGAATTATCTGATATATTATATTATATGTGTAGAATGGTAACTATAATGCAATTATCCAATTGATATTTAAAAAAACATTGTTAAAAAATATAATCAATAAAATCTCAATACGTATGATCTCTTAAAAATAAACTAATACATGTAAAAATATTATTTATGGTAGTCTTAATTATTTGATATTATCCATTTAATTAATATTAAACAGAAATCATAATTACCATACAAATATCACAAATCGAATCCGGATATTAACAATTTCTCCATTTTTTTGGAGCCTAAAGTCAAACATTTACGACCGTGAACATTAAAATTTGTGTATTAACAAATATATCCAAAATAAAATAATTCTTTATTTACTATAAAAATAAAAAAATAAAACAAAATTATTATATAAACATTGTAAATCGCGCGCGAATCTAGATAGAAATAATCTTTTTCTATATTTTCTTTTGGAACCTAAATCAAATATTTACGATCTACGAATGTGGAAATCTCCATATCAAGAGTTATAGCATTAGATCTTCATAAATTTCTAGTAACGTGAGGTAAAGCTCGGCTTCTGTGCCTGTCGATAATACGTTTCATGTAGTCTCGAACGAATGGAAAAATATGATAGTAGTGACTGTCTGATGTCGGTGAAAAGCTCTACTCTTATTAACCTTCTCTCTCTCTCTCTCTCTCTCTCTCTCTCTCTCTCTCTCTCTCTCTCTCTCTCTCTCTTTCTCTGCCATTTCAATGCAATAAAAATCGATATTTCGAAAAAAGATTACACGACACCTTTTAAAAAGTATCGTCTTGATGATCGACTTTATATATATATATATCTACGATTATATATAATATATATACTATATGTACTTATATATATATATATATATATATATATTCAGTAGACCAGGACCAAATAGAGCTTCTAGTAAAATATTTCCTTACATAAAATGTGAACGTGCAAGAGAATCGAATTATTTTCTTGCTTTGTACCATCTGAACACGCTTCTTAACGTTCCTAACAAAAGGGAAATCGTCTTCTAATATTTTAGTGTCTCTATACGAACGTGTACTGGAACGTGAAAATGACTACTGAGTACATTTTTAACTATATTTATTTCCTTTACAATGCAAATGAATTTATATATTCGATTTTAGTACGAATTTATACGTACAAACATAAGAAAGTTTACGTATTAAATTATCTATTTAAAAATTTTGATATTGTTTTTCTATTCCTTTTATCGAGCATTCTTTTTGAAAATATATTTTCTCTCTTTTTCTCTTTGTTTTAGCCTTTTTTTGTCATTATATCCTTCCTTTGAAATTATATTTTTTGATACGAGACTCTGGTGTCTCGTAAATAGCTTTATTCTCGTGTCTCACGCACAATGTGAGAGTCTCTCACCGTGAATTCGTCAAAATTGCGTTTTATGTGCGTACATATATATACATACTTTTTCAAAATATATGGGCATAACTTCAGAAATGGTTCCGATACGTTAAAATAAGAGAACAATTCCTTTTTTTGTATTATACTTGTTGTTACATAATTTTCATGGAAACTACTTGAATGCAGGCTTCAAAACGTCTTATTGTAGATGTTCTCAATTGTTCAAAAATATCAACTGTTGTTTGAATTTATCGACAGTATGAGATAAGAAGCTTACTCGTAAACAGTTGAAGCAAGCAATCAATAAAGTTCTGTGAACTAAAAACAAAAGCAGCTATAATTCGGAATCGAGTTTATATCGGGCATACGATTTTATGAACTTATTTTTTATTTTATCGTATTAAAACCAACCTTGAAATTATGTTCATATATTTTGAAAGTCCCTGTAAACTTTCACGAATTCTTTTTGTATATTTTTTGAGGGTGTTTTTAGGGTTTCTATTTTTATTGGTTTTTCTTTTTATTTCCTAGCTTCGGCAAATAAAAGTAGCAGGAAAAATAATCGTATTTACACCGTACGCGTACGAGTTTATAAATTGTTCTATCGGTAAAATACTTTTAACGTTAAATCGATGGTAATTGCAAAACTGTCGGTGTTTTTATGTGTATGAGCGTATGGGCTCGTAGCCCAAATAACTCCACTTTGTAAATTATCTAGAAATTTGCTTTTTAATTGCAAAGCACTCGATCGATGCTTAACTTTTAACATTTTAAAATACATTTGTTTTTAATAATTAAATTCAGTAGCATTAAATGAGGAAAAAAATGTTAATATTAGTTTAATAATAAATGATACCAACAATGTATATAAATTTCGTGTTATTTTTAAAGAATGAATTAATTTGACAAATGAGCGGCTCGCACGTAAGTACGTGTAAATTACTTAAAAATCGTGTATACTTATATTCGCGTAATAAATGTTAATCCGTGTCACGCTAATTGTAAATGTCTCCTCGTTGTATTCTGCACATAATATCCCATAAACGGTACCTTGATGAGAATAAAAGCTACGTAAAGCTCCATGTTGGAAAGACCAAAAAGGGAGCTTCGAGCTTTCCATCATACTAACTCCCTCGAATATATATTAGATTATCCGGATTAGTGACCGACGCTTCCGGCTAATAAACCAAAGCCTATATATCCCTATACACATTTTGAAAAGCAAGTTATAGACGTTAGTAGTCTTTTCGACGAGTCAACAACTTTCTCATTTCTGATATACCCAAGGAATAATATCATTTTTGACGGAAAAGTACGTTCGAAAAATAAATTAACAATATAGAGCATAAGTGAATTATTTTAAATCAGGTTAAGTTATACTGAAACGTATCAATCCTTACAATGATGAAACAAAATTAATTTAATACTATACTATTAATATAATATGGATTTAATTATCTTTTAATTCTTATTGTGAGAACAATTAAATGCCCAATAAATCAATTCTTACATATGTTACCGTCAAACCCGGAAATCCGCCATTGCCAATAATTCCTAGGCATTGTCAACAATGCATTTTTCCCTTTGCCTCTCGACAAAGTTGGAAACAGAAGAATTCTTAGAGACTTTTCCTAAGCAGTAAACATAATATAATATCTGTCTAAACATAATATAATCTTCTCCTACGATAAGTAACAGTGGAACCTACATAATAATACACCAACATTAACTAACAAAATGTTTTATGTTCAGGAATGGTCATGAAGTTTTGAAACAAACAGAAGAAAAATATAAAAGAGAAGCGATCCATAGCAGTTCAGTTCAATTTGAATCAATGCTAGCTAATAGCGTGTATTACATTATACCCGTGTAATCTGAATAAAACCATTTTCATTTATTATTTACTACCACTTTTACCATATCTCTATGTGATTTTATATGATTTTCTAGAACCCCCTAAAATCCTAATTTATAATTTTTTTAACATTAGTTTCCTTTACACAAAAAAGCAATTTCTAGAAAAATTGTAATTATTATTTCGTTATCATAGAAATAATAGAAATCCTTCATGTTTTCATAACAACAAAAGGAAAACAATGAAAAAACTCGTAGAACAAAAATTACCAAGTCTTGTAACGAAAAACGCTGCGCTTGAAGGTATCAAAAAAAAGGCAAACAATTTTCTAGCTGAACTCAATTTTATAGTAAAACTGGAACAGATATCGAATGCGTTCGTGCGAAAATGAAATATAAGAGAAAGAAAGAGAGACAAAAGAATGAATTTCACCACATAGAAACAAAAAATAATTGTTTCAGTCCATTGTAACATTAGGTTATTGTTTTTTCAAAAAAATACCGTAAACCGCGTTGCAAATTCATAAGAATGAACAAATTTTGCTTTTTCTTTCTGTTACACACACATACAAGCACATACAAGATAACGCGCATAGTTTCCCTTTCTTTCCTGGAAAACTCTGCTGCTCGAGACAGCTAACAAGGTGGAAAATGAATGCTCTGGAATTCTGACCGAGATGTTCTCACTGTCTCTCTCCTTCTCTCTTCCCCTCTCTTTCATCTAATCTATCTATCTCTTTGCGAAACGATGAGTAAACAACCGAATTTCTTTCCTTACAATCCTTTTACTCCGATATTATTCTCTTTTATTATCGATAAATTCGAGTTTTAGCATTCGGTGTATACACATGTAAAAAGTTAAGCACCTGAGTATTAATATTGTTTACATTATGAATATTGAGGATGAATATTGTACGATACTAAGCCGTTACAGTTAACAGCTTTAAAATCAGTCAGGTAAATGGAGTTAAACCTTTCGCATATCATTGACCGAAATATGCCAACATCAAATTTCTTTCCGCCATGTAATGATAAATAGTTATTTTTCCCAGGCGTGTAATTACTCCCATTAGGAAAAAAAAGATCAAGAGAAAACGACGTCAGTAATAATGGACAGTAGGAGTATGATAGTATCAACTTCAAAATATAAAATGATATGAGAATAATGAATAATGAAAAATTGTATCGAGAAATTTGATATTTTCATGTCTATATGTTGAAATGATTTTCACTGTAATTGTGACATCACTCTCACCTTAGAATACATTAAACTGAGAGGTAAACTCATGGCGATGCTGAGTAACCAGACAAAGATTATTTTCAAGATCACTCTTCTTCTCGTTTTATTCCGACCAAATTTCATAGGATAACGTAGGCTGAGATAACGGTCGACGCTTATGGTGCACAGATGCATTATACTTGCCGTACAAAAAAGTACGTCCAGACAAATCCAAGCTAGACAGTAGACTGCAGGTAATGGAAAATAACCTGAAATCATAAAGAAAAAAAAGAAAAATTAGATCCTTTAAAAATACAAGTGAGATATAAAAGAGTTGAAATGAAATGAGAATTATACATTTTAAATAAATACTCGGAATATTGTATGGATTAATTACAAAAATTGTCTCAATATTTTAATTAAAATATTTATAAGTATAATAATTGGTCAATATTGTCAAAAATTTGAAGTATTTACAATAATTACAATTTACAGTAATTTTAATAATTATAATTTCTACGGACCAAAAAAAAGAGTAAACGGAAATGCAAAAGATTAACACCCGAATCGCTAAATTAAACGAACTGTACCGCTTTTCGAGATATTAATAATTTTTATTATTAAATTTCATACACGTTATATTATATTATATTATTATTATAATCGGTTCTTATTCGTGTTTTTATTTTTATTGTTTTACTTTTTACTTCTTTTTAAAAACACCGTGTGCCATGAAACGTGTCGCTTGAAATTACAATCGAAGATCGTTCGAAATCTTTTTACTACCCCTTACACACACAAATACATCAATCTGTCATACACAATTTTCTATACCACTAGTATCGAGTACTGCATTCGTGCGTTTTGAAAACAGGCAGTCAACTATTGTCAGCAACGTATATTGACGGTTTATTCGGGCTTTATAGTTAACTTGTTTTGATATCTCAAATTTTCTTCCAACGTTTATGCAAAATACGTGCTTTTTACTTGAAACAAGTATTACCGCATACACTACCTGTTAAAAGCTTAAAATCACTACGTAAATTCAGAGAGACGAAGAAAAAAATGTAGCCGAGATAGATTTACATATCAAAAAGACTTATGAACACAGTATAACTTCCAATATGCGACGATTTAGTATTCGAATATTCTAACATTCGCATGCACTACTATCTTGGCATCCTGGACCACGCTTCTTTCGTCTAAATGGCCAAAGATGTCCCAATAGCAAAGTTCATTTCGAACATCATCTAAAATTTACTTTATAAACCATACAAAAATATTGACACGTAAGAAAATATTAAAAATCTTTACAAAATTGTTTATTCAATTTATTAATATTCGATATAATAACGATAATCGATTTTTACAATACAATTCAAATTAATTCCTATTAAAATCGACAAATGACTTTAAACTTTTGTCGATTAGTGCATATAAATACGTACATGTGTATACAATATTTTCACAGAGATATACATACGTATACATAAATTATGAGTATCTACGATTCATTCTCTTTTCGTATTTTTATCTTTCTATATTTCTTTTTGTCTCTACGTATTTGTGGAACTACGTATTTGTACGTGTATTAACACGTTTTTCTACGCGTGACTCGTAGTAAAAAGAGTGCAGATCAATGGTGTGTTGCACAAAACGTAACAAGAAACCAAAGCTTTCATGTTTTAGAGAAGATCCTTTTACTCGTATATATACATACGTATTTTCAACATCATTCTGTCTCGTTTGAAACAATTCATTCTTGATACGAAATTCGTATCCAACGAGGATATTTATCGTAAAACGTGTCAAACATTTTTTTTTTCTAAACCCTATTTTGTTATCGTCGATTCTCGATATTGTTAAAAATAAATTTTTTTATATACTTTCCCTTCCTTCCTCTCAATTCCCCCTCCATAAAAGCAAGTTTTATTTACAATAGTCCAGCTCTCAACGGACGTGTTTTTAACACGAAGGAAAATCGATGATACTGTTATTGATCGAAGTGTGAAAAACAACGTCATCAATCCAAGAATATCAATCATTATCCATTTGGTTTGACCCGTCAAATACATCTAATAAAATTTAAAAAATGTTCTTGAAAATCTGTTTCAATCATTAACGCATCGAGTTTGTCCTATTCGTTAATTTGGTATTTCATATTTTATTAAGAAAATGTATTTAAATATTATACGTGTAACTCTGGTATATTTGAAAATTAGAAATTGATATTTTAAAAGAACTTATACATTGATATAAATGTGAACGTCAAATAGGAATAATTCCATCAATTCGTTCATTTATAATTATTCAAGGAAAATTTGTTATAATTAACGAGTTCTAATTGAGTTTAGTTTCTCTAATAACGTACGATTAGTTAATATTAGATGAAAATTCGTAAAGCATCGTAATTTAATAAATCTAATATTAACGAAAATTAGAATTAGCAGAAGAATTATTGTCGTTCTGCTATCCTTTAAATCCTATTTGGTGTTTTCAAAAAGCATTTAAAAAATAAGAAGAAGAAAAAGAAGAAGAAGAAGAAGAACAGAAGGAAAATTTCGTTTAGGAAATTCGTCTTATTTATCTTCCGACGGTTTTATAGTCGTGTATGCGACTTATTCTCCTAATAAATTTTACGAACGATTTTCCTTCTTTAAGTTACTACTCTCTGACACGTTTTACCCCCTTTGTTGCATCTATCCACGTTGAAGAGCTACGTGACGTGTCGCGTTAGTAGACATAGATATATATATCACGTCAACGTTCTAAATTCTTCACAAATGTATCTGAATTTTGTTAACCAACAAAAGTTTCGTTAATTTTTTTTAATCGATAGATGCATATGCATTATATATATATTCCATTACAACAAATTCATTAAACAGAAACCCCATAACACTATGATAACCTTTTTCGAGAAATATTGGATACTTTAATCAAAAATTGAAGATTACAAAAAGTATATAGAGTAACTTCGTATAATCTTTAACATGCATCGTTATATTTTTCTTGACGTTTGTTTACAATTGAAACACAATCAAATTATGCAATACATTATTTTTCATTACACCATAAATAATATTAAATGTTCCGATTGATTTCAAGCTATTTAGTTCATCTTACATTTACTCCTTAACTCGTACTTCTTTTCTGTTATGAATAAATCACTCACTTTTTTTGTCATATAAAAAACATTACGATCAAATTTTCCTATAACCGTATAATCTCATGGCGATCTTTGCGAATAATTTTCGAAGAATTGTTAATGACTGTCGTTGCTATCAAAAGTCACCAAAGTTAAATGAGTCGCAGCTTTACGAAGTCTCGAACGCACACCTAAGAAGAAAAGACAAGAATAGCGAATAGAGTTAGAATGAAAGAGAAGAGAGATGAGAGAGAGGTATAAGGGTTAGTTGATAATAGGTATGAGGAGGTTAGGGAGAGAAGAATAAAGGAGGCCAACGCGTTTCTGTTAATTATCCTTCTTAACTCGCTTCTTCGATAATTGCGCTTCCAAGACTTAACTTATACACGTAGATCCGAAAATTTTCGATGCTAAGAACATACAACGATGAATATTTGATTCCGTCGCGAATTTTAACATGTTAGTTTGCGTTAAAAGGATGTTAGGTGAGTCGAGAAAATATTTCTTGTCCGTACGATTAAATTAAATTTGTTATTATTTAGAAAAATATATAGTTACTATTTTTTAGAGGTAACATTATTTTTGTTCATAACACGTTTAGAAAGAGATTATTATTAATTACTTTTTTTTTTTCTTATTATAAAAAGGAAGACTTTTTTACTTCAATAAATTTATTTTATGGTTAGAGGATCTTATAGTTTATTATAAGATTGAATACTTACGTTAACATTAAAACTTCTTACGAAGTAAATATAAGAAAGAATGTGGAAATTATACGTTCCGGAAATTTTTATAAGCAAACTAAATAAATAGCATAAATATCATAAATTCATCTCATGGTTAAACACCTTATAGTTTCATGGCTAAATGCTCGCGTTAACATTCAAACTTCTTCCTAAGTAGATAAACGAAAGAATGTAGGAATTATACGTTCCGCAAATTTTTATAAACAAACTTTACAAATTTCCACAATTTTTGTTATACTTTGCAATAACGATTATCTTATATTTCACTTAATCTCTCACTTCATCTCGAAGAAAACAAAAAAAACTGGAAAACGATAGATAACATAAATTTCTTTTTTATTTATAAGCTTAAAACAGAAAAATTATGGTTTGGTATAGTTTTTATAATTGTATTAAAATTTATCATTTTTTTTGTAATTTTAAGGGTTTATACATTTCCGGATAACTTGGTTCAATGTTTATACCGAGTTTATTAAAAAATGTCAGACTTCGAGATTAAAAGAAATTGAATTCGATATAGTTCAATCGTAAATCATATTTTCAGTTATACGTTTCTAGAAAAATATGAAAGATAAACCATCGGAATTTTGGACGAAGCGTTTATTGATTATCTTTATGATGTTGCAGTTATTTATTATTAAAATATCTCATTTATATTTAAAAATATATTAATAATATATATATATTAGGGTGGCGTATATATACGTCGGCATCTATAACCAGAAGTATTTACACTAATATGCAATACAAATTAGGTTGTTTAGTAGACTAAGTTTTTTTCGGATCACCGAAGTGGCACAAAGTTTTTTTCTCTCGCATTGATCTTTGTGGCTTCTTTCAAATACATTGTCTAATTTTACGAGCTTTCAAAACTTCTCCGATCATGTAAGGTAGCAAGTACCAACGGGAGTTTTTGCGCTAAAAAGAATTTTCAACGAGACTTCGTAACTTTCGAGTGAACACCCAAACTCGGACGACACTTTTTGCGAGCTTCTTTTTTGCAATTTTCGTTTCCTTTTCTTTTCTTTTTTTTGTCTTTTTTTTATATTTCGTTCAATAGACTACTCTTTTATTTTCTTTCGAAGAACTGTCGAAGAACATTAATAAGTATTTTTGATTCGATCGTAGGATCCTTTCGAGAGCTTTCACGTTCTTTGATCGCAAATTCGTAAGCCGGCAGATAAATCGCACGTACCTAAATGGAAAAACCAAGATGAGACTCTTCCTCTCAACTTTGAATATATTATTTTCTATTTCCGTTACGTGCTTGTCCTATCTTTCATAAATTTTCCGTAACCGGGAAAATGATTCGTTGTAAGAGTAGTACACCGCGACGTAAGATAAAAGGCAAATTCTATCGGTCCTATGTATAGAA